AGTTGTGTAGACTGTAGAGTAGAAGGTCTTGTTTAGTTTCTTCCCTGTAAAATTTACTGTTTATCTCATCGAATATTTGACACATACATGGAGTATTAAATATAGATTAAAAAAATAACTAATTGCATAATTTACTACTAATTTACGAGACGAATCTTTTAAGCCTAATTAGTCTATGATTTGACAGGTGGTGCTACAGTACACATGTGCTAATGACGGATTAATTAGGCTTAATAAATTGGTCTCGCGGATTACCGACGGATTCTGTAATTTGTTTTTTTTATTAGTATCCGAACACCCTATGCGACACCTCACGTGACATCCGATGTGACACCCAAAACTTTATACCCTGAATTTAAACAAGGCCTAAGATTGATTGCCAATGTTCTGTAAGTTTGGTACTGCAACATCAAGTGTTTCTATGGCAGGTTAGTGACAGAAACAGCTTGTTTCAGAGCACGTAGAAAACTAAGGGTTTGTTTAGTTTTTAAAAAGTTTCCCAAAAAGTGCTGCAGTAGCCATCACATCGAATCTTGCGATACGTGCATGGAGCATTAAATGTAGACGAAAAAAAAGCTAATTGCACAGTTTGGTTGGAAATTGCGATACGAACGTTTTGAGCCTAACTAGTTCATGATTGAACACTAATTGCCAAATAAAAATAAAAGTGCTACAATAGGCAAATTCTCAAAATTCACGAATTAAACACAGCGTAAGAAGAAATTTAAGACCTTGGACAGTAAAGAAAAACTCGCTAGAGTGCTTCCCACTCCCCAGAACGAGGCCATAAGGAGTTCAACGGTAATGTACAATAGAGCTAGTGTCGGTACAAGGATCTAGAGATAATAACTACATATCCAGGGGCAGGACAAGGGAATGTGGCTATATTGAAATCATGAAGGTCATGATTCCTGTGCTACCGTGTGCTTCCGTTGCAGTCGTATCCGTCAGAATATTCAGAGCAAGGTGCATGTGCTGATTAACTATTGTCAGCAGGATCTGGTAACGACAAAGAAAGTTCAAGATTAATGGGGATGGAGTTTTGCTTAGAGCGAACAAAAAAAACCCGAATATATGATTGACAAATATTGCAATACGCAAAAGAAAGCAAGACATTGGTGGAAATCTTTTTCTAAAAAAGACATTGGTGGAAACATCCATAAATCACGCTCCAGGAAAGACAAATGGTGACCGTGAGGTAACCTTTTGTCCCCAGTTCATGGCACAAGTACAAATCAGGCAACTTGACGCGGCGTCTGGACCCTTGTTCATGGCATGGGAATCTTCAGAAAAAGAGATCACAAGATTCTTATCACATCTATCTATCTGAGCCATGCTCATGATATGCTAGATAAGTGTAAAGGTTCCATATGCTTCTAAAAGCGTGTGTTCGTGCGGTCTTGAACGATTCCGTGTTCTTGGTCCACTGCAATCGTTTCAATAGCTACTGCCTACTGCCCAGGAAGCCTGACGAATCTTCCCAGTTCCAATGCTTGTTGCGATCCGAAAAGCCTCGTCGTTTGTTTGCTGTGACTATTTGGTTTGGCCAGTGACTCGATTGGTTCATTGCTGCGCCAAGTCTTCCCTAGCTTTAAGCTATCTGCAGAGAATAAGGTCATCCACACGGACTCGGGACTCTGCTGCATTGACCTCCTGAATCTTAGCTCTCAAAAATCCAAGCACGGTCATTCCGTGCGGTGAGTGATCAATACTGTACAGCCATTGCCCGTTCATGTTTCTGGGAAACAGCTGTATATCCTGGTGAAGCATTTTCTTCAACATAATTTGAATTTTCTTTTTACTTCTGATGTAACTTGAGTTTAGCAGACAAGATTTCACTTGACATGCAAGATATTTGCGGGGATATCCTTGTCCTGCTTTCGTATGTATATATGCTCATAACTAGGATGTCAGTACATCCCTTAACAGTATGCACAAGACCAGCACAACCGAGACAGCAACACATCCTTTTATTTCATTCCGATCCAATGCATGCAGTCCTCATGGCACATAGCAGCTCAAAGTCTGATCCTCACATCTGTTGGCCACCCTTAAAAGTAACTACCAAAAGAATAAGGCATATGTTTCTCAAAAAAAAAGGCATATCATTGTATGCCGAGGAATGTGTCGTAAATTCAACCAGATGGAACCTTGCCTTCCATCAAGCAACCATAGAATTCAGGGGTCATAACTTCATTACTACAATCCCAGCCTAACTCGCCTTCAAGCAACATGGCAGATTCATCAACACTTCAACAGAGTATAATCCATACCCACTGGACTCCAATGCATTCCCATATTTAGCTACCAATGCAGGTCAAGTTGCAGGGTAACAGGGAAACGAAATACTGCATATTGTACATGACTATATTTATTATGAATAAATATGTTTATTAACCAATATACAAGACACCGAGAACCCACGCAACGAATGCTCTTGTTCTCCTAACAGGACAACTTAGTTCAGCTGTAACAACATGCCATCATCTTGCGAAAAACCTCGTCCGAACAAAGACAGGAAGCATATGGTGGCCTCCTTTTAATCTTGTTGGCTGACAGCGAACAACAGCTACCTTATCACCTGAAAAGGGCAGAAGCATATGAGCACGACAACTGAGAGACTTTACGAGCTTTGTTAAGGAACAATAGACAGTAACAGCGAAACCGTAACACATAAGAATGGATCTTAGGATCGGAAAGTCAAAAAGATGCTATTGGGCGGCACTTTAAGAACCAATCGCCTATAGCTTTATTCTCTTAAAATATCAGTTCAGTTCCACATGAAAGGATTTATTCATTACACAAGTTGACAAATGGCAGTATGTCACAACAGGAGAAACCCTGCTTTTTTGTTGCCCAGCAAGTTTGCCACCACTACATGCCTCATCCACCAAAATAGAAATTAAGATAGACATTAATTTGTGCCAACTAATTCTGGCGGTATAAATGTACTTTCTGTGATGTGTAAAGTGAAGTACTAGCACTTAATCACTCATAAAGCAGCATAGTTCAGCTTTCTTAATAGCAAGTTCACATGAGCAACCCAAGTCAAGAAGTCCACCATTACTTCAAATAACAGCATGTATCTGTTGAAGCAATTGGCTAACTTATTCTAAAGGGTGATGCAAGAATAAAAGCTTGAAAGAAAAATCAATCACAAGGTGGATAGGCATGTAAGGTGTCCAAGGCCGGCACGCGTGGATTCTACTTTATCTCTTTGCTGTCGAATGCACAGAATTTCTATTAACTTGGTAAATCTCTAAGCTTGTGCATGTGATGGTCAGTGTTTTCATACATGAATAAGACAATTAGTTGTTACAGAATTTTGTCACAATAGAAGCAAGAATGATGCACTCATATGAGGAGATTAGCAAAATTCTGTTATAATCAGTGAGACGTGATTTTGGAGTGGACGTATTCATGCTGTACCAGAAGTCTAAAACAAAAGCGCTGAACAGGAAGCATAGCAAAGAAATAATGGAGGTGTCAAGAAACTAAGTAGCAAATGACCAATAAAGAGAAGATATTTATTAAGTGACAAAAGAGATTCAGGAATCAAGGTTGCCAAACTATCAACATACAGTAGCATGAACTAGTTTCACTCTTTGGAAGGAAATCAAGGCAGATCTGCAAATTCTGTATCTACCACCTTGTCAATAAAAACATACTAATCCTAGTACAAGATACTAGAGAAAAGTCAATTAAACAAGTGGGCCAAAGGGCGCCTAGCTCAAACGGTTAGGTTTCCCGGCGGCACTCCTCAGGTCCTGAGTTCGACTCCCCGTGGGAGCGAATTTCAGGCCGAGGTTAAAAAAATCCCCTCGCCCGTCCCATGTGCCAAAGCGCAGTAATGGTCCGGCCCAGGGTCTGGTCCGGCCTGTGGATCCGTGTGTGTGCGCCTTGAGTGCCGCACGGCCCAGGTCCGGCAGACGCCTTCTCACTGGCCAAGGATACCGCTGCGTCAGGATGTGGACGGGGGTTCTGGGGTTTTCTCGATCTGTGTGAGAAGATCTTCTTCTTAATAAGAAAACCCGGGGGCCGTCATAACCCCCCGCAGGTCGAGTTTTTTTTAATTAAACAAGTGGAATCGATTGTAAACAACACCCAAAATGAACATTCTAGCACATGAGACAGGTGCATTCCATCAATCAAACAATGTGACAAACCACCTAAATCCACATCAACATTGTTAGCTTTGCTCTGCCATTTCTTTTCTTCAATCCAAATTCAGCAGAACAAAAGGTATCTTCTAGCCTTAAACATATAAGACAGGATGATTGATACTTAAACCTCCAAATAGATGGCATGTTCAGTATTGTGCAGTAATTACTAATCACTATCTGCTTAGCTCCGGCTCACATTAGCGCTAAGATAACAGCAACATGCCAATTCTTGTTTAAAATGACTAGGATACTTTAATGAAATTATAATTTATAAGAGAAAATGCTTAAATTCAATTAAGAACACTCAGCCAGGTCAACATAAAGTAACATCAATTCTGTAGGAATGCTTATAGCGGCGCATAGTCTTTGATAACACATGTGAAACAAGGTTCATGTAATTAACAGCAGAAAGCACCTAAATGTCTTATTGACAAACATTGATTTTGCAGTGCCCAGAGAATCCAGATTTGGACAATTGATTATTCAAATTCTAACAGAAGAAAATCAGCAAGTGAAGCATATCCTGATCAACTAGCAGACAATACACGACCATATAGAAAAAAAAAGAATGTAACAGGACCTAAACCTGACTGGAACCTCTGGCTCAATCAAAAAAGGGATCCCCCTCGCGTGCCTCCGACATGGCTGTATCTGACTCGGGGTGCGGAGGCCACTCAGACGACACAGTCTCGCGCCGCTATTGGCAGGTCCACCAGCTCCATCCCCATTCCCCGGTAATAGCCTGTGCGAGCTGCGTGGGCGACGCCAAGCCGCCAGCGTCGCATAGCTGCCGACGCGGACGCGGCGGTGTGTGGTGGTAGTGAAGCGGGATGGTGATCAGGGTGGGCGGCGGGTCCTGCTCCGACGGTGCGGCCTCGTCCTCGGGGTCGTAGGCGGAGGGGATGCGGAAGCGGCAGACGGGGGGTCGTCGGCGGAGGGAATGCGGAAGCGGCAGACGGGGCAGGAGTTGTGCATCTGGAGCCAGGTGACGATGCAGAAGGAGTGGTAGAGGTGGGCGCAGGGGAGCTTCCGCGCCTCGGAGGTGAGGGGCAGGTCGTCCTTGCAGATGGCGCAGACGGCGGCGGGCTCGGCCACCTCGACCGTGGGCAGCGCGGCGATGGAGGCGGCCGTGGCGGGAGGCTCCCCTCCTCCGCCGAGGCCGTGGCCGTGCTGCTGGAGCACGGAGACGGCGGCGGCGGCGACGTCGAAGGGCCCGTCGCGGGGGCGGGGGCGGTTGAGGTCGAAGACGACGAGGCGGCTAAGGTAGGCACGCGCCTCGTGGGGGTCCATGATGAAGTCGAAGTTGTCGGGGTCGTCGGAGAGCGAGGAGGAGCTGGAAGTGAAACTCCAGAATTTTTGCCGTGAATAATCCAGTGCCCTGTCTTCTCATTATATTGTGTCACTAAACGTAAGTTACAGCTGGAATAATGATAGTGGTGATGCCTAGCACTAGGCTTTGAAGGCAGATTAATACAGCCCGCTCACGTTAACACTGGAGAAGAGCAGCCGTGGGGACGGCGGAGAAGGCAGACTTTACTGAAGGAAGTCACGACGTCCAAGCGAGATCGAAGGGCTCTCGTGGCTTGCGACCAATCGAAGCACAATCTCAATTTTTTTAGGGAGGCAGGCAGAGCTGCAGAGGCTGGAGCCATGCTGCCCTCCCGCGGGGTTTGCCCGCGCCTGCTCGCGCGCCGCCGCGCTTGCCCGACGCCGCCTCCTGTGCTGTTTGACCGAGCCGCCCTTGGAGAAGAAGACCCACGCCGGGAGGCCCTGGAGGAGAGGGAAGTGGTTGCGCTGATGAACTTGGAGACACAGACACTCGCGTTGCTTGTGCACTTGATGCATCGAACCTTGAATCTATTATACAAATCGAGTAATTGGTTTAATCCATCATGCCTGTGACATTTGCAATGTGTGCTTATGTTTGTATTGTGGGACTCTGGCAGGGCGCATGCTACTTGCAGTTAAATCGACATCAGTTCCAGGCCAGACTCCTGGACAGAGCAAGCGAGGCGCTGGAGCTCTGCGTCGAGAGCGGCGAAGCTGACATGCGTTGGTTCGGCCATCACGCTTGCAAACCCGCCTGCAGTCTGACGCTCCGAGGTGGCGCTCGACAACGCACGCGGAGGACAGCGCCAACGGTGAGCGTGAGCACCGGGGGGCGGCGACCGCGAGCTCGGAAGTCGGGAGCAGTGGGAGGCAAGGGCGCCGGCGAGAGCAAGGCCGGGACGTCGCCAGTGACCACACGAGAGCGGGCGGGCGGACGGCGGCCCACGCGCGGACGAGTGGGCAGCGTGGACGACGGACACCGTGCGGACGAGACCCTGCATGCTCTGGATGCCACCGTCGCGCCGCCCTCCGCCTCGGCCACGCACGCTCGTCGCGCAGCCCTCCCGCGCCACGCCGCACCGCAATTCTTCTGCTACGGGCGTCGAGGTGCGGCTGGGGAAATTGGTTGGGGCTAGGCGGCGCCTACGGGCGTCGAGATGCGGCGTAGCAGGGATGTGGCGGCACGGGCGGCGCGGGAGAGCGGAGCAGCCCGCCGCAGAAAAACGCGTCCGTCCTCGCATGCTACTCGCCGCGCCGTGGAGGAGATGGGCACCACCATCTCAAGCGCAGTGCATCGCTGGGGCTGCTGCGCTACTCGCCGTCGCGGATGGCCGGAAGCTAAGTTGTCGAGCCGCTGGCATCCAACGAGGATTACTGCAATCATTTAGCCGTAGGCCTCTTGCATCGCGGAGCGAGGTCACGTACTCACCAGGTCCGCCGCAGCGTGCTCTTCGCTCGGCGCGCCGCGCCGCCACAGCATGGCGACGGCGCCAAGCGCAGGTCCCCTGGCGCCACGACGGCGCGGTGCTACAGCATGGCGACGGCAGCACCTTGGCCGCCCTCCGCACCTCTGCGCCCGCGCCGTCGTGACCCTGCTGCTGCTGGTGGTGGTGGTGAGGAGCGGCGGCGCCGCCGTCATTTGCGGCGGAGCGCGTCACGGGCAGCGGCGGCGGCGGGGCGGCCATGTGCGCTTGCGTTAGAAAGTCAGCCCGGCTAGGATCCGGGCACCGGCGAACGCACGGGTTGGGAACTCGCGAGGGCGCCAACGACGCCGACCATGCTATTCCGCGTCGACATCGTCACCTCCGCGCTCTGCCGCCGCCAGCACGCTACGCGCGAGCGCCTAGCGCAGTTGCCCAGGCTGAAATGGCCAACTTTGGTAATTGTTTATGCTTAAAATGACTAGGTGCGATGGATGTTGAATGGAGGCACCAGATCAACGGAAAGTTACAACGTGACGTTACATAGCAAAGTTACTGAATCCGGCTCCACGGAGGAGGCGGAGGCGAAGACTAGGGATCTCCTTGACCTTGAGGGCCGTTTTGGGTCGTTTGGATTTTTTTATTAAGACGAGGAAATTATAAACTACTTAATAAATTAGGCTATTTAACTTAGAATTTGACATTCCATAACATTTTAACTTTGACATATAAGCCTATCTTAAATTTATAGAATGTGAGATAGAAATTGATTCTATAGATCACTATACTATGTTTCTACTTTGCAACTTATAAAACGCTCTTCAACTCACTCCCCTACGGTTGAAATAGAGCACATAAGTATCTCTTTCGTTTAGCCCACAATAATATACAAATATATTCCATATATAACTATATTAGCTTAATTAATATGTGTCTAAATTATGATTATTAAAATGAATTCAATTCCAAAAATCTAAGTGGGGCCTAAGATGATCTCGGTTGCTCTGTAAATTTGGTACTGCAACATCAAGCGTTTCTGTGGGAGGTTATTAGTGACAGAAACAGCTTGTTTTGAACACCTTTTTTCAAAATTATAAAACGTTTTGGATTTTCTAGATTCCTAGCTTTTTGCTACGCACCTAGATATAAGTTATGTCAAAATACATAATAAAAACCATGTATGTAGAAATGTCGAAACTTCTTATAATTTAGAACAGAGGGAGTAAGAAGAAAGACCTTGGACAATATAGAAAAACTCACTTCAGTGCTTCCCACTTCTCAGAATGAGACCATAAGGGCATTCGCAATGTAGAAACTACCAATAGTTTCTATGTCACAAGACATCACCTATGGAAACCATGTTTCCCAACGCAACAAGCCAATCCTTCACCCCTTCTCTTTCCTATTCTCTCGGTTGCTTTTCTCTCCTCATCCTGTTGGACATACGCTTTCTTTGGCCCAGCGTGGGGCGGCAGTGTTGGGCGAGGCCATGGGGCCGCTGCAAGGGACGGCCGTGCGAGGTGGTGCTGCAGGCCGAGGCCGCGCGAGGTTCGGGCGGTGCTGCAGGCCGAGGCGCCACACGAGCCCCAGGAGGCGGCATGGGGTGAGGCCGCGTGAGCTCCATAGGGCAGTTCTTGGCTGAAAGGATCTAAATGTCTAGAGGGGGGTGAATAGCCTAATTAAAATTTCCACAAAGACACTGAAGCCAATTTGTTAGATAATAAGGGCGTGTTTGGGACTGCTCCGCTCCACGTTTTTCAGCTCTGCTCCACGTTTTTTAGCCAAACGGTTTTAGCTCCACGCACTCTGCTCCAGGAAAAATGGTGGAGTTGTGAGAGCACCTAAAGAGGTACTCCACAAACTCCAGTTTTTTGTGGAGCTGCTCCACGGTGGAGTTTGTGGAGCAGAGTTTGTGGAGCAGTCCCAAACACCCCCTAAGATGGTCGTATAAGCAAATTGTTCTAGATCTATTACATGCCAAGCAAGCCACCTATCAATGCTAGTTGCTATGACCTGTAAGGTTGATTTTCACACAATCAAACAATCTAGAAACTATTTATACATTAGAGAGCTAGCTAAGCAACTAATTACAACTATGCTACACAACTAGCTAATCAAGCAAGCAAATAAGCTTTACACAATTATACTAGAAATTGAATGTGCAAGAGATAGAGCTTTATACTGAACTGACAAGAGATAAAATCAATCAATTGAATACCAAGATGACATAAGATTTATCCTCGTGGTTCGGTTGCTTGCCGGCAACCTACTCCATGTTGTGGCGATACACTCACTTGGTGGCCCACGCGCTAATAGACATCACATGTCTATCTCACCACTTGGGCGCCGTAAGAATCAACACGAGAGAGGATCCATAAGCCACGAGCAATTTACTAGAGTTGCCTTTTGTGATCTCCAGCGGGGAATAGGCACAAGAACCCCTCACAATCGATCGATCGGAGCCAGAAACAATCACCAACTTCCGCTCAACGATACTCCAATCACCGGGCCGGCTAGGTGACGACAATCACCAAGAGTAACAAGAGCTTGACCAACCCAACTCGCCCAACTAGTGTCAAAAGATGCAAGATCATTAAACAATTCACTAGATGCTATCCAAATCTCACCCAAATGAAATCAAGGATGCAAGTGAGTGGAGTGTGTTTCTTAGCCCTCAAAAGGTGTGCACAAGTGCGTGGATGTAACACCCACGGTGTTACACCCTAAATCATTTACTAAAACATGTCATGCGCATCATACTTGTGTGTTAATGCATGTGGTGAAATGAGTAGATAATTCATCGCAACTAAAACGATCAACAAAAATGCGAAACGAAAGTTGCTCCACGATTCGTACAGTTAACAAGTAGGGGTGTAAACTAATTTTTATTGAACAAAAATACTATAGAATATGTATGTGACACTTAAATGAAGTTTGAAATATGAACTTTATAGATGACAATGAAATACTTGGTATTGAAAAATAATATTGCTAAGTAATATTTTTAGTAGCTTAGAAATACAAAATGAAATTAAGATTAGCCCAAACGCTTAGAAAATTTCTAAGCTTGTGGACAGCTATACGCTGCTATGCTTAGCAATTTATTTGGAGAGATTAGGTTAAGGAGTGGTGTAGTGGTATGATTTGATTTAGTAGTTCCATATGCCATCTTAAGTGTAGTGAAGCCGGTTTAGGTTTAGGAGCAACGGTTTGGTCGTGATCAACGCTTTAAAATTCGGGCGTGTCATAGCTTTGTGTGTCTGGCGCCGTGCGCGTGGTCACCACGCGTGGCCGAACCGCATCGCCGTGCGGTTGTGTTGTGCGTGCGCACGTGGCCACATTCCGGCTGGCCGTGGCCGCCATGGCCTTGCCGCGGCTTGGTCGCTCTGGCCGCACCGCTAGGCCATTGGTTCGCTCTGCACCCGACCGCCCCTGCCACTGCGGTTGCCGCTGGTGCTGCTGCTGCCTCCGTGCCACGTCGACGCCGCTGCCGCTGCCGTCGCATCACCACGCTGCGCGCCTTTCGCTGTGCTGCGCCGCTGGCCCGCCTTGATGCTACACGCACGAGGCCGTGTTGCCGTCGCCTTGCCATTTATGGCACTGCCCATGTCGACAACGAGCGTGTGGCCGTCGACTAGCGCTTGGCCGTGGGCTGCCCTGGTCGTGCCAATCGTGTCCCGCCAAGCGCGCACATGCCGAGCCTCTGATCAAGTCCCCACCACCTCCCATCCGCTCGCTTCTCCCCTATCCGCCTCTCTGCTACCGCCGCCGCTGCACCGCACCAGACCGCCTAGATGCGAGAGGACGCCTTCCATTAATTCGCTACGCCTACCACGCTGTCCTCACGTCCCCTCTCTAGCCGTCCCCACCCCGCTTTGATTGCGCCTCAGCCGAGCCTCAATTTTGGAGCTTCGCCCCACCACCGCGCCGTTAAGACCCATCACCGCCCGCGCCATGGCCAGTCCTCCCCACTTAGTCCCGCGTTGAATTGGCTACACCAATAGCTCCGCCTTGAGCCCCTCTGTGCTGTGCACGTGCTAGTCGCATCTCTAGTGCCACCTCCTCGCCGCTGACGCGGCCGTGCCTTTATGGTCCGCCATTCACCTCGCAGCGCGCATGTGGCCAACCTCGCCCGGGTCATCTCTTATCGAGCCGGCGCCTCGGTTATGTCACTGGTGAGTTTTTGTTCCTCACCCACTACCCCTACTGCCTTGTTGTTGCTGCGGCTCGCCAGAACGCCATCGCCATTACCGTAGGGTGCCCGCTGTCGTGGAGAGGTCCTTCTACGGCGTCCCGGCTCGTGCAACCGCCACCCATCGCCTCGCGTAGACCCCCTTGGTGAGATTCGGCCTCTTAGCTAGGTTAGCATGGGTCCCGGGGTGGTCGACGCTGTCGCTAGTGCCACCGCTTGTCGCGTCGAAGCGCGCGGGGGAGGCCAGGGACCATGTCGTTGTAAAGAGAAAAGAGTGGAAGGGTCTTTTGTATAGGCGTTGTCTCTAGGAATAGTAACATGAACTGTGGGTTGTTTTGTTCAGAGTTCAGGAGCGCTTTTGATAATATGTCAGCACGCACACGGGCTCCTCGCCGTGGGCCACATCCGCGCGCGCGCCACGCCTCGCGTGGGCCGCGTTGGGCCGGATTCGATTATCTTTTCCATGGAAAATAGAAATAGCTTTTCATTTTTATTTCTGAGTTTAACTTTGAAAATTAATATAAAATGATATAGATGTCCAAAAATTATGAAACTAATTTTGTTGGGTTCCCAAAAATATCATCTACCTGTGAGTACAGTTAGTTCATACATATCTATGTGGATGCTAAGGAGCATTAAAATAGTTGAGATGCTTAGTATTATTTCAATTAATAATTGTAGAAATTCTTGTGGTAGATTGGTGATAACAAAAACTCTAAAATTTTTATAGCAACTTCATTGTATTATTATGTACTCACTGTAATTTTTATAGCCCTATAATCGACTACTTAATAGGTAGCTAAATACCCATTAAGGCTAAAGGAATAATGTCACGATATTGGTTTATAAAAGTTAAGCATCTGTAGGGTGAGCTTGAAATCTATTTGGTAGAGATAATAATTAGCTTAGTATCTTAGTCATTAGAGCTAGCTTAGTAGCTTAGCATGTGTATTCTTATTTTAAGAGTTGCTGTTGCTAAAATACTAAGTGTTGCATCATCATTGCATGCATGTAGAGAATGAGTTGGTGGAGTTCGTGACCGCCGGAGAGCAGGAGTACGAGGAGGTGATCG